AATAATGAGAACATTTGCATGCTCTTGGAAAGATTATTAAAGAAGCCACAGAAAGCACTAATTATTAAGAAACAGAGTGATACATTTAGGAAATTTTTATTATTAAAATATAGAAAAATATAATAGTATAGAAGAGTGAAAAACAAGGCAGAAGGGAGAAGATATTTGCAGCACACATAACTAACAATGAGTAGTACTCAGAATATATAAAGAGCTCCTACAAATCAATATAAAAAAGATAGACACTCACCCTAAGGAAAATGACATAAATCTTTTCACTGGATAATTTTATCATCCAGGCTCTGGTTCATGTTTATCATTGTGCTGAAGACTTATTTACATCCATAACTGTTATGTGTATACCCTAAGTACGAGGGGAACTGTGACTGAATATTCTAATGTACTACTGGTAAGTAAAGGGATCTGCAAAAAACTACCCATGCATTAAATCATGTATCTGGTGTAGTGAATAAAATCAGCTTTCACTCTCTCTCTAAAAACTCCCCCAAATTTATAATTCTACATGAATCATTTATGTTTGGGGTTTTCTCCTTAAACATAGAGAATGACTATGAAAAGACATTAAGGCAGGAACTCTAAGGAAAACTCACCATGTATTTCTCCAGGCTCACTCAAACCATTTTTAAAAAATCACAAATGTGACGGAAAAAAAAATTACTAGTTTTTGAGTCATTGAACATATGGAAAATTTGTGGCACTTTGAACCAAGATCATAAGGGTAGGGGATGACTCTAAGATATCCCCTTGATTCCTGCCTTCTGGTACAGTCTTGTGTAATCCCCTCTCTCTGAGTGTGGGCTGCATCTAGTCACTTGCTTCTAACCAGCAGAACACAGCAAAAGTGATAGGATGTCACTTCCAGGTTAGGTTACATAAAGACTCTGGCTTCCATCTTGCACATACTCTCCTGCTCACTCACTTGCATGCTCTCATGAAGCCAGTGGCCATGCCGTGAGCCCTATGGAGAGGACCACATGGCAAGGAACAGAGAGCAGACTCTAGCCAACAATCCTCAAGGAACTGAATGCTGCCAACCAATGCTCATGAGTGTGAGCTTGGAAGTGCATCCTTTCCAGTCATGCCTTGGGATGACTGCAGCCCCAACTGACACCTGGATCACAGCCTGTAACAGCCCCTGAGCCAGAGGACACAGCTACGTTGTGAGACATTGGGAGATAATACATGTTGTTTTAAGGCAGTAAGTTTTGGGGTAATTTGTTATGCAGCATATAGATAACTAATACAGTAAGATATATTTAAATATATTCTAATTTGATTTACCAATTAGCTACTGCATGTGTGGCATTAAAATTTACTTTTTAAATCAAATGAGGAAGATGTGGCTCCTTTATTTTTTTTTCCTGAGGGTAAACACAGAAACAAAAATATATTGACAGTATGTAAGAGGGTCTATCAGTTGCTGCTATAACAAATTACCACAAAACTTAGTGCCTTCAAATAATAAAAATGTATTGTCTTATAGTTCTGGGAATCAGAAGCCCAAAAATGGGTCTCACAGGTCTGAAATCAAGGTATCAGTAGGGCTGTGATCCTTCTGGAGGCCCTAGGGGAGAATTTGTTTCCTTGCCTTTTCCAGCTTCCAGAAGCTGCCCCTGTTCCTTGGCTCATGGCCCCTTCCATTTTCACAACCAGCAATCACATCACTCTAACCTCTGTTTCTATTGTCACAACTCCTTCTCTCACTCTGGCTCTCCTGCTTCCCTCTTTCATTTACAGAGACTCTTGATATGATACTGGGCCCACCTGGATTATCCAGGCTGAGCTCCCCATCTCAAGAGCCTTAATTTAGTCACATCCGCAGAGTCCCTTTTGCCATGTAATGTAACATATATACAGGTTCTAGGGATCAAGATGTGGACATCTTTTACTATTCTGCCCATCACAGAAGGGTAGAAAATATGTTCTCTAAAGAAGTTTTGCTTATTGATCTGTAAAGAAAAGCTATAAGGAGAGGGAAGCAAAAAGGCTCACAAAATCAAGTTTTATCCATTTCATAGCAGTTCTCCATTTTTAGCATTCCACATCTTGCTTTTAAGTACCTAGAAGCAGAGGTGCTGTGAAGGAAGATGGGGAAAACAACCAGAGTGGCTGTTGAGGGCCAGAGTTTGATGCAGTCCATCAGAACACAAAGGGGATATGAGAACCAGAAGGCATAAGTTTCCTGGAAAAGAGTGATATTTTCTTAGAAATACAGATTTATATCCCTCACAATGAATGATAACAAACAGTGCTATCTGTATATGAGTTTACAGCAAGGAAAATCAGATTGCTTTGCAAGAGATGGTAAAAGTCACCACACACACACACATACACACAAAAACTACTTATTCTTGCTTTAGCCAAGAGCTAATATGAAAAACGTGTGGCCAATGTGAAAGGAATTTGGTACTGTCAGAAACTCGACAAATTGGATTCCTTATAAGTGATGCACTGTCCAGCTCAATTCCTGATATCCACCGCTTTCCAAATCATCACTGTATGAGACATCTGTTTTCTTGGAGATTAGCACAACCCAACAGAAACGTGCCTAGCCCGAAGGAAATAAATACAGGGTAAAAATCAATCCTAATACTGTTTATGCGAAAGAATTCAGATAAAACCTAGTCTGAGTCATGAGAAATGTTTCCAGCCTCCCTTAACTGGATTTCGCTTGGGATATATGCGTCTTCCTGGTATCGGGGATGGGGTGGTAGCAGTGTATGCTTCTATTTCCATCCAATTCATCTGGTAATGCTACAACCAAGTCAACATTAAATTAGTTAGACTGCAAAGTTTATGCCGAAAGCAAAACATAACCCAGACATCCATGTCAAATCCCTTTACCATGAGTAACAGAACAATCAAAATACTATAAACAAAACATGTCCAGGACCCAGCCAATGGCCCACACATTTCAAGGAATATTTGATGCAACAAAGCACCTGAATAAAATGAATTTAGACAGTCCCTGGAGTTTATGATAGAATTTGACCTGGAAAGATGTTTAAGAAAAAAAAAGAAAAAAAACAAAGACAAAGGGTGACCTTGATTTGAATAACTTCATAATAAAATTTATATAGCATAATTTTACCATCCAGTATCTCTGATCATAGACAGCCAGTACTACCATATATGCAAATAGTAAGTGCTCTATGATACTTGAATTAATTGTTTTTCTGGCACTGGAGAGGGAAGCCTCAAACTTTGGATTTTTCACCTAATGCAATGAAAGCAATGATAGGTGTGAGGGGGTGGGGAAGACTAAGAAGGAGAGAATACACTGTAACTGGAAGTGATGCCTTGGAAAAGACAGGTTCTTTTGCTTCATAGCTGGGTTTGTAACAGACTTATTCACAGTGGGTTTACAGAGACTCAATACCCAACATGTATCTCTAAACTACTTGCTTTTGTATCCCTCCAAAAATGATTGTGAAAACCAATCTCAGGTTTAGAATTCATAATGACAAAAAAAAAATACAAGTACTGCTTTGTAAACTAGCAGAAATACATTCTCTCGTGAGTCAGTACAGGGTGATGGCAAAGAGCAGAGCAAGAATGAACATGAACTGTATGCTTCCTGCTGGTGGGGCCATGGAGAAACTGGCATTCTCACATACTGCTGATGGAAAGTGTAGCTGCCTCTGTGGATTGCAACCTGGCAACGTCTTTTAAAATTAGACATGCATACCTGCTGACCATCTCTGGAAACCTATCCCATTAAAATAAATCCCCATATGGGAAGACAGATGCGCAAGGGTGTTCATTGCAGACCAGTTTGCAGTAGCCGAGCACTAGGAACAAAGTGAGTGCCCGTTGAGAGGAAATAGTTAAATACATCATAGTAAACACATGACATAGGATATCACTGTTAAAAGGAGCTATACGAGTAGATGGGGAAGGATTTCACAAAAACAAGATACGAAAAAGTATTTATGATATAACTCCATTTTAGTAAAATGATAAGAAAATAACCCTATATATGTGTATATTTGTATGCACATATACGTCAGTGTAGAAGAGTAAGTGTGGAGAAAAATACAGTAAGATATAATTCAAGGATAGATCTGGGATTTACCCTAGATCTGGGATATATATATATAGAGAGAGAGAGAGAGAGAAGGTAGTGCTATGGGTGGATAAGGGAGGAATAGGGATTGGAGGGAAGCAAACTCAAAGGTAAAAGAAAAAAGCACTGCACTAAAAAGTTAAAGCACATTTGCTCTCACAATTGTTATAAAAATCATGTATAGTGTAGGCATATGTTTAAATGCATTAATCTAAAAAAAGTCTGTACTTCATATTAGCCAGAATGAAAACACACACACACACACACACACACACACACAACCAAAAAACAAAAACAAAAACAAAACAAAACAAATAAACCAAAATAATGGGTCCAAAGTTGATGCTTATGGACGTGGGTATAACCATTTTCTAAAATAAAATTGGCCTTAAATACATGGGAGTTTTCTAATTATTCTTTGAATTCAAATGTCATCTTAAAGGTAAGCCTTCCATAACAGTACCTATAACAAGCACAACCTGTCTCTCAATCAAGTATGCACTTGTTTAATAAGTAACACAGGACCGAATTTGCCTCCAGGAACACTGTGAATCTACAGGTGCTGGGAAGACACTGGGATTTTACTTGCCTTACCTCATCCAGTAAGCATTTCGTAACCTTGAGCAAGTGACTAATCTGCGGGGCCTTAGTGTCTACACCGTAAATTGAGGGGTGTGGCCCAGATGGTAACACTAACATTCTCTGAATTCTTCCTCATTCTCTTAAACTTGAAAGAGGCCAGCAGTATTTGCTATTTTAAACATAATTAAACATAAACAAAATTCATAGAACTTTGTGCTCAGGGTCAGAAATAAGTACATTCCAGAGAAAGCAGTCCCTTGTTCTTGTTTTTTGTTATTGTTTGTTTTTTTTCCTGACATGATTAATTACTAAACCCCAGAACCCACCATACCTTTGGGAATAGGCTGGGAATGCTTTGCTCCTTGGTCCAATTTGAAGTCCAAATATAAGGTTGGTGTGCGGGTGTAAACCTTGGCCTGAAAAGTAAAAGGAAACCATTAGTGTTTTTCTAAGAATAAGGTTCTTCTTTACTGTCGCTGGGCCCTTCTGTAATAGGCCTGGACTTGGATCCATTATATTTATAGTTTCTCATAAGGAAGTGCTGTTATAGATGGGGTGGGTTGCTCATTCAGCCCCTCTTAAGGGTCTTGGTCTAGAAGTTAGTTCTCCTAGCTTTACAGTATGGTTGACAAGCTAAGGATGACCGATGTCTCCCTTCAACACTTCTCAAATATGGTCCAATGTTAATATTTTACTGGCCAATAGTTTGTCTAACTTTATCACTTCTGGTCTTCCACTTGATATGGTTATCGCACACCCAAATGTCTGTTTCTTCCCCAGGACTCAATAATGTCATTTCCATTTTGAAATTCAAAAAAGTGGTCTGTACATTTTATTTTTTCTTACTTGGCCCTCTGGCAATAAAAAAGGTGCTCCACCACAGCTGGCTTGAAAAAGCCACAACTCCAAATGTAAAAAAACAAACATTTGCAGGATTTTCCCTTGTAAACAGTGGCTTTGATTTCCATCAACAGTTGAGTGGAGTTTGTAATTCAATATAATACCATTCTGAATCACTGGCATAGGTCAAAATCCAAGGGATTAGCACTGTTGCTATAAACTTTATGATGTCTCATTGTTTATTACAAAGCCCCAGTGGTTCTATTTTACTTTTATTTTTTTTAACTAAAAAATACACACGAAAATGAAAAAGTATATAACATCAAGTTTGGCAAGGATGATGAATAACTCGAACTTTCATACACTGCTGGTGGGACTTTGACTTGATGCAAACACTTTGGAAAAGTGCTTGGTAGTAAGTAGTACAGATGAATATAGGCATAACCTATGACCCAACACTCCAAGTCATAGGTGTATACACAACAGAAATGTTCACCTAAAGACATGTATAAGAATCTTAATAGTGACACTGTTGAAAATCGCCCCAAACTGGAATTATCCCAAATGTCTTTAACGATAGAATTGACAAATGAATTGTAGTCTATGTATATGGTGGAATACTATACAGCAAGGAGAATGAACAAACCCAATGACATGCAACAACTCCGATGAGTCAAACAAGCATAATGTTGAGCAAATGAAGGAAAACACCAAAGATCGTACACTGTATGACTCCACTTCTATGAAGTTCAAAACAAGGTAACACTAATCTATGGTGTCAGATGTCAGAAAAGTGGTTACCTTGGGAAGGTTAGTAACTGGAAGAAGTTAAAAAGGGGGCTCCTGGGGACTAGTCATGTCCTTTATCTTGACTTGGCTGCTGGTTTCATGAGTGTGTTCACTTGGTGAAAATTCTCTAAGCTGTGCACTTAATTTGTGTAATTTTCTGTGTACATGTTATATTTTAATAAAAAGCTTACATTCATTAATAACATGCATATGCAAATAGAAAAAAAGAGAGAATCCAGAACCCAGAACTACTTTATCCTTGATAAAGGCAAGATTTTGCAGAGAATAACTATGTAAGCTCCACGACAACATGAACATTTCTGTTTTTTTCACCATTGAATCCCCAAGGCCAATCCACAGTGTCAGCCACTTAGTAGGTGTTCAATAAATTTTATCGAATGGTGTTTCATAATGGAATACCATGTATAATAATACATCTATTGACAGTACACATATGGTATTCATCAATATCTTTACTTACATGTAGCAAAATGCCTCTTTTCAGACAGGTGGATTTGGTATGGTCAAAGTGTATGTCTGTCCATTAAATTTTGGCATAGAGAATTGTAAATAACGTTGACTATCAAAGGATTTTTTCCTTTCCTGTCAATGTCTCCTATTGAAGCTTTGGGCTTTAAAATGATCTGGTAGATTGTTTTACATGGGTCAGGTGGTCAAGTTGCATTAATACTGCTTCAAAGGCTGAAAAAGCAAATTCCCCTAGGCATACATAAATGAAACCAGAAAGACCTGTGACACCAAGTGCAACCTGATTCCAAAGATTCACAATCAATCTGAAAAGCTCGAAACATACATAAACCAAGGGCAGCACATGAGGGTCACAGGATCGGATTCTCTAGGATCATTAGGTGTGTAAGGCACCAGCTGGAAGGGGACTGGTTTTGTCTGATGAAGACTTCTAAAATTACCTCTAAAAAGATCAAGGGTAAACTTCATATAATACCGGATGACTCCTCTGCTCAGGCAATATTTTGCTCTCTTTCAAACAAAGGATCCCTGTTTGGTTTAAGCATAGCTCCCAACCTCTGCCTCAGTGGCAGATGCAGTATTCCTTCCTACAGGGAAAAGATTAATCACAAAGAGGCTTTTGGTTTAATTTCTACTAGCATTCTCTCAGAATGTGCTCATAAAAATAATCTTGAACTAGAAACCAGGAATCTTTGATGCTAGGATCGCTTTTCCTGCTGACTAGCAAAGCACTCATCTTTTTCTGGGTTTAGTTCACTCATCTGAAAACCTTGTGGGGGGGCTCACCAATGTTTAAGTCTATTTCTGGCTCTGAAATTCTGAATACGAAAATTAATGTTTTCCTGCACATTCTAATTTTCAAAATTCACATCTGATTTTTCATACTAGAGCTGTAGAGAAGGGATAGTATGACTAGGGCTAGGGAAGGTCAAGTAGGGCTGTGGGGAGTTTGTGGGGAGCTGCTGATTAACTCGTTCTGTTCTTGCCCTCAACCTCAGTCTTCAATCTTGCCCCCCTGGCTGGCTCTTTTTCTTATTTTCTTCCTGTCTCTAATTCTCAACCTAATGCGTATTATCTGAAACAGTAATCTACCTCTCTAAAATGGCAACCACATGGATACATGCACACAAGCACGAGTGTACACACACAAACACACAGAGTGGTCTGTATTCATTTACCTATTCATTTAAAATATTTTATACAGAAACCAATGAGAGACTTTATGAAGCCACAAATATGTCCAATTGTCTTACAATGTGAAAGGACTAAAGGGAACATTTAAATTCATTTTGGAGGTGTTTTCTACAGCATCTATAACCTGAAATAGAATTCTGATTCTAGTATCCTTTTTGTATTGAAAATTAAACTGTTGAGGGTTTCAACAAAACACGTGTACTTCAATAATCAACTATCCCACCCCACCAAATTAAATGTTTATTATTCTATTTCAATTAATCTATAATGAGATAGAACTCAATTTGGAAGCTGTTCCCATGAGTGTGTTTGTAGGTGTGTGAATGTATATGTTCACACATATTTTGAAACAGAGGTAGTTTTTTTTTTATTTTGATCTTCCATGGTAGCTCTGTTTAAACAATTGTAAATGATGTTTATTTTAACTCAAAGATGATAATGCCAGCCTCAAATGCACTTTGAGCAAACCTGGATTTGGTTTTCCTACTACACTCACTGCTGATTTTCAACCGTAAAGAAATATCGCCATTAGGCACATTTTTTCCTATGTTCTGTTTTGTTTATTTTTATGTATAGTATTAAACTATTAATAGACCCTCAAAATGGAATGAGAATTTAATTAAATCATTCTTTTTTTGGTTAAAACTTAGTTATCAATATATCTATATCCACAGGATTAAAATAAATTTGTCCATGACAAACTAAAATAAAACATTCCTCTACAAATCTGTTTCCACATGGACAGAACTAATGTGCTTACAATACATCAGTTAGACTTTCTTTTTCCTTTTCTATGATTTGGTCTTGAATGATAATGCATGCAGAGATACTAAAATCCGAAGCTATTCCTCTTTCTCCCTTCTTCCCATTTCATAATTCTCTGTTGAAAATATTTAGAAAAATTTCCTTTAAAAGTTTCAGCCTATATTTGAAAAACCTAATGGCTTAAAATCTTATGGTTCAATACCTTGCAGGGAAAGTTTTTAGAAAGTAAGTCATGTAACTCTTCACAGGAGGTTAAGAGGAAATTTTGGCTAATCTACAACAACAGCGGTGCTACCCAATTCAGGACAGCTTTGTCTCTATAAATATGTCAGAACCAAATCCTTAATGAGTCTCAGACACTACTCCAATAATGGCCACAAAACAAGGTCTATAAAACCACTTCCTTCTGAACCCCAACTACCTTCATCTCATGTCCTTCAAAGTCTTCCCATATACCCTGGCTTTTGGTATGAGACCCTTGTCAAGCTGGCTTCCTTCCTCTGCTTTTACTGATAAATGTGATTTTAATTAGGAGGCAAAATCACTTTCATACGGAAGCCATGTGGCTTAAAAATATCTTCCCAAGAAACGAGTGTGCTACATTGCTGTGCATGAATGTGGCGAAGGAAATATTGAAAGGTGCCACTGCTCCTTTCACAGGTAGCTGCCACCCATTTATTCCTGAGTGTGGCTGCTTTTACCACCATGCTGGCCTTCCCTAAAAGCAAGTGGCAGCCATTTAGTGTCACACATCAGAGCTGTAATAAATACTTTCACATTTCTTTTGGAGAACTATATCAAAAACTCTTTATGATTTAGTAATTTTTCAGGAAATGCACTCAAATTCTCAATCTTATTATATGTTACTTAAGCAAATTACTCTAAGTAACTGTACTAACGAGTGCCAGTCCCTAATATCCTATAAGAGAAAGAAACAGTGTTTCTACCTGTTTCTAGACACTCACCCTCATGTTGGACCATCTCCTTAATGTTGGACATTATCTTTTATGGTGTTTGTGTGTGCCTGTGTGTCATTGCTAACTTTGATGAATATCTTCGCATGTAAACCTTTGACTTCTAATTCTTCCTTCACAGTGAAATTATGGGTCTAGCGGTCTAGACAATGTGGCCAAAGGCAAATGGGTCAACATGATCATTTGGTTAAACAGCAATTTTGCTGAAAATGTCTACTGCAACTTTTGGTCAAGATGGCAGAATAGACAGTTGCCAGTGTCAATCTCTCCCACAAATCAACCAATTTACAACTATAAAGAAGCAACGACAGCCAAGTTGGGGCAACTAGGGCTCAGGGGAAGATGAGGAGAGACCTATGGAGTGCATGAAGGCAGGAAAAGCCACAATGAGAGAAAGAAAAAACTGCTCCAACTGTTTTGAGCCCCAGCTGCTTCCAGGCTGGAGCTGGCAAAAGCTGCAGATGTGTCCTTTGGATGAAGTTGCTTGGATGCAGCAGGGGAGAAGAGGGTCTTCGTGATCCCCAGGCCAGCAAGACCACTAAAAGGCTCCCATGGACCCACATAGTAGCAAGGAGCCACAACAACTGAAAAAAGGAGCCACTCAGAGACTGGTGAATCATTGCAAGGGACCAGCTCATGGCCCATCCCGTGGGAAGTGTTTCCCGCATGGGCAGTGGGGAAAAGAGGCCCCCAGGGAGAACACTGAGGCACAGCAAGGACAGGTGATCTGCCCTTCAGTCAGCACAGGACCACTCAGAGGAGACTGGTCAGGAATATAGAATTGCAGGGGGTGCAATTTGATGAAAAGACTCAGGCCTAGCCCAGCGTTTCTATACAATCCAGATGCACCAGATTTCTCTAGACCCAGCAGTACCTATAAAGTCAACCATTAAAATCCGAGCTGCACAAAAAGCCTTCCCCAAGCAATCAGCAGCAAAGCAGCAATTTAGCTCAACCACAGGGCTCCAGTGCTGGTCGCTACAGGAAGTTCCCCCATTTTAGAAGTAAGAAAAGGACAGCAAATCAGTTTCAGTGCAGAGTTTAAGTGGTGGGAACAGCAAATAATCCAACACAGAACTGGAAGAAAAAACAAAGTACCTACAACCAGAGACAAAGTTTGATTTTAACTAGTAAAGGTCTCATTTCACCAAAGAACACCTAGAATACCTAGAAGGACTGGAAATCTCCTGGGATACCAAGCCAGAAATGGGGGAGAGCTGAGGGCCTCAGCCATGCCCCCTGACACCTGCAATCAGTCCCGAGGGTAGGGGCCAAGGGCTTTGGCCACACACCCCCAACACACACAACCACTGCAGTGACAACCACTGAGATGCCGCAGGAAGTGCCCTGGGCTCTCCTGAGCTGGGGCAGTGCAGGGCTGAAGGCCTCAGCCACACCACCCCTGACACACTCAACCAGCCCAGCGACGACCACCAAGCCACAGCAAGAAGGATCCCGGGTTCCCAAGCTGGGGTAGTGGGGCACAAGGGCTTTTGCCACACCCCCCTGACATCTGCACTCAGCCCAGCAATGACCAAGTGACTGCTGGAAGCCCCCTGGTCTCCCCTGTGGGAATGTGGGGGGTGCCACAGGCCTCAATCCTGCCCCTCCTCCTTCCTCCTTCTTCCATCCCATTTCCTTCTCCTTTCTCCTCTCCCCCCCCCAACTGCTCTGCAATATCAAAGAATGTAAAAATATATATATAAACAAAAAAATAAAAATAAATGTCTACTGCTAGTCACTTTTTTTTCTAGTCTTGGCAATTTTACTACACCACAGGGCAGTTTTTCATCTCTTTATGTGCTCTAAATATTGTTGGTTTTTTTCTATCTAATCCCCTATTGTTAGAAAGTTAATGCATTCTAACAAATCCCCTGTGTTGCACATTTAGATTTTTTTCTTTGTCACAAATATAGAAGGGAAGGATTAATTGCTGAAAAGAAAAAAAAAAGTAAAAGAAAAAATTCCTGGACACCTTTGGAAAATGGACAGAAAGCGAAAGTAAGGTAAAAAGCTTAACCTGAAAAACAAATTTAAAGGTATTGCCTCCATTGTATAATACCATTATTTCAACAACCAGTATTCCAGCAGCACATATTTGTTTTTGAAGAAAGCATTTTGATCACTTGTTATACTAACTACCTTACATCCTTTCATCCAGATTGTTTTTGGTCAAATCAGTTGATAACTACCTGAAAAAGTGCCTGTCCCATTAAAATGTTTATCTTCTTACTTTTTAAAGCTTAGTTAATTTAAAAAGCAAAAATTGGTATCTCCTTACTCTTTAAATTTGAGTATTAGTTTGGGTGACATTATTAATATTATTAACAAATAATATTAAATATTATTAATATAAGAACAACAATATCTAAATATATTGAGGGCTTTAGTATGTAGCAGGCACTATTCTGGGTGCCTCATGTGTATTAATTAGGCCACTTGTATTTAGCTTTCCCTTTAATAAACTATCTGCTGATTAATGTATTTAACTTTTTATTTGTTTATTAATTAATTCTCTCACTCAAAAATACTGATTGAGAACCTATAATGTGCTAGTCATTGGATATGTAAATAGGTAAATAACAGATCTGCTCAGTCCTTGTGGAGTCGACTTTCTAGTTAAGAAGACAATTTAGCAAATTAAATACAAAATTACAAAATGTGGTACATGCTATAAAATAAATAAATAGGGTGCAGTGAGAGAACATAAAATGGGAGGAGAAATGGAAGGCCTCTCTAAGGAGATTACATTGAAGAGGAGACTTGAATGAAGAGTTGGGGGTAAGAGGTTTCCGGGCAGAGAAAGCAGCGTGGCATGTGCAAAGGCCATGAGGCAGTAAAGAGCTCAAAATATTCAGAAACTGAGAGAAAAGCAACATAAAAGACACAAAGTGGGGGCTGGAGAGAATGACATGAGATGAGTTTAGAAAGTCAGGAAAGATATTATCAAGTGAAAACCATAGTAAAGCATTTGGGATTTCTTTAAAGTACAATGGGAACACATTGCAGAACAACCAGATCCAATTTTTATCTTAAAGAGATGTCTTGAGTGACTATGTAGAGAACTGGAAGGGAGTAAGAATAGAAGAGAGAAGACTCCTGAAGAGGCTGTCAGAGTGGGCCAGCTGGGGATGTGAGAGTAGATAGACCTGAAATCTATTTTGGAGATAAAAGCTTTTGCTGATGGACTGGATTGGGGGCAGAGGGGGCAGAAGGTGGAGTATGAATGACCACCATGTTTTTACTTTGGGCAGTAAGTGATGGTGCCATTCATTAAGATGGAAAAGACTAGACAAGAAACAAGTTTTTTGTTTGTTTGTTGTCAGGACAGGTAGGGGTAGGGGAACAAGACTTCAACTTTTGCTATTTTAAATTTGACATGCCTGGGACCGATGTAAATGAAGATGTCAAGTAAGGCAACGAATATATGAATCTGCATAGAGCTCAGAGGTGAGGCTGGTACTATGACTGTAAATCTGGGACTTGTTAGACTATACATAGTATCTACATACATGGGATGGATCAGATCGCCTAGAGAGGTAGGTGTTCAGTGAAAGAGAAGAGAACTGAGGACTGAGATCCAAGGAACTAGGTGTTTAGCAGTCTGGTCGAAGAAAAGGTACCTGTCTGAGAAAGGAATCTGAGAAGAAGCAAAGAACACCCAGGGGCACACAAATGTATTATCCCAGAGGCCAAAGAAAAAAGAGGGTGTAGAGAAAGAGGAAGAAGTCAAGCCGAAGAGAGGAAAAGTTGACCTGGAGAAGAATTTTAAAAAATACCTCTTATTTGGCCACAAGGAAGTCAGTGGTAACTGGTTTCAATGGACCAATGGGGGATGTCATGTTGAGAGTATCAGGGAGGCAGGGAAGTAGAAATAAAACATGTGGAGATGAATCTTCTGTGAAGTATGACTCTGAGAGGGAGCAGAGAATTGGGGGATATGGGGTCGAGGGAGTTTGGTGATTCTCTTATCAATTTATATGAGAGTTGTTTTTTTTTAAAAATAAATTAAGGCTATTAGCCCTTTAAAAAACTTTAAAAAAATCTCCCAATTTGTTTTAGGCATTTAATTTCATCTATGGAATTTCTGACATGGGTCAGATCTATCAATCTTTTCTTTCCAATGCTTTTAAACTTAGAACATTGGTATTTTGATGGGGATTGCATTGAATCTGTAGATTGCTTTGGTTAGAACAGACATTTTCATAATGTTAATTCTTCTCATCCAAGAGCATGGAATGTCTTTCCATCTTTTTGTGTCCTCTTTAATTTCTTTCAGTAGTGATTTGTAGTTCTTGTTGTAGCGATCTTTCACCTTCTCAGTTAAATTGATTCAAATAATAATAAAATAAAATAAAAAATAAATAAACTTACAACATCTTTCCCCATTCAAAGATCATATAAATGTTTGCTATATTTTTCTAGTGAAAAATTTTCAACATTAAATTCTTTAATCTATGTTAAATTCATTTTATTTATGGTGTGAGATCATGAGCTAAACTGGTTTTTTTTTTATTAAATGGTTACCCAATTGTCCCGGCTGACTTACTCTTCTTTTCCTCAATTGATGATGATCTTTATCACTATTAAGTCTGCCCATATATTTGGGTCTATTTCAAGTAGGTTCTCTTTCTGCCAGTTACAAGGAAACTCAGTGGGAAAAACCAGATGTCGACTTCACTAACTAGTTCAGGAGCCCCAAGTAATCGAGGAAGATCTACTCCGTAAGGAGTTCATGTCATCATCTGGCACAGCTCCCATGGCTTTCCAGTCTGATCTTCTTTCCACCACCCGCTGGCTCTCATGGTCTGTTGGGCTTTGCAATTGAGGAGAAAAACGCATCAGCACAGACATATTCTCTCCACCACCAAACACTCTTAAGAAACTCACTGCCAGACCCCCTCACCCCTGCTTGGAAAACCATACCTTCCCCTTTCTCTTGTAGATCCTAAGACTTCAAGGAAATGAAAAGTAGGTTTACGTTATTTAAAGCAAAC